CCTCTTCTTCATCCTCCCCCTCCCCCTCCCCTTCCCTCCCTCGCTCACCTCTCCCTGTGCGGTCTGGATGTCCACTATCGTCACCACTCCCGGCATCAGGTCGTTTCGCGACGACTTCTCATTGGCCGCCGCCGCCGCCTTCGCTCCCGTCAGACTGCTTGCCACAGTCTCCCCGAAGATGGTCAAGCCTTTAGTTATCGTCTGCCGACAAGACAAGAGAACGTGTGTGATGACAAGAGAACATGTGTGACGACAAAAGAACGTGACCAAGTCATTTGTTATCGGCTGCCGACACGACAAGAGAACGTGTGATGACAAGAGAACATACGCAATGACAAGAGAACGTGTGCGGTGACAAGTGAACATGTGTGGGATGACAAGAGAATGCGCGTAACGACGAGAACACGATGACAAGAGAACACATGTGATGACGAGAACATTGTGACAAGAGAACATGTGCGATGAGAAGATAACGCGATTCAATACCTTCGATATAAATTAAAAATATGAATCGTAAATATGAGCCTTCAAGACAATACGTCTTTGCCTCCCCGTTTCCTCGCACAATCACGTACGTCATGTATGTATGCACTGTACGTACACCTACAGTTGTCACCTATCTCTCACCTTGGCAGCTGATATCACCGTGGCAGCGTACGACTGTACTCCGTCCCCCGTAACACCTCCACATGACTGATGCATCGGTACCAGCTGGCAACACAAGATGGCAGCACCGTACAAGAAATCGGCTACGTGGACGCATTTGTTTCGCTGCCATCATTACGGACACATTTTGCATTCACAGTTATATATCACTGTTGTGCATATTTATCGAACTCATATATTAAAAAATATAAATAATAACTATTTCGTTATCTGACTACGTCCCGTGTCTATAAAATTATTTTCACGCATTTTCTATCATTATTTTAAGCATTTCTATCATTATTTCACTATTTTCTATCATTATTTTATGTATTTCCATCATTATTTCACGTATTTCGCGTGTAATTCTTATTCATTGTTTTCGACGCTGCCACAGAGAAAACCACGAGTCCCGCCCAGTCGCTCCACCAGTAGGTGGCGCCGGTAAACTCACCCGCTTGTCGCTGTAGGCTAGCCATCGGGTGGCGAGTGCGATAGGGTTGATGATCGGTCCTGGGGCCGGGTAGCAACCTGTGACAACGACGAGAAATTTTTTCGATTGGAAAATACGAGGGGGAGGGGGTTGATAGGGAAGGTTAGGTGTGTGATTATCTACGATTGATTTACTGAAGGAGGGAAGGGGGTATGCACACAAACACGCGTGCACACGCATGCACAAAAGCATGTGCTCACTCATTCACTCACTTGTATTTATTTTAATTACTCACTTACTCAAGTACACTTACTCGCTCAAGTACATACTCACTCACTCACTAACGCACTCACCCACTCAACCACTGTCGTCCACATTTGCAAGATTATGTGACTTATATACTACAGAAACGTATATTATTTGATACAACTACAGATATACAACTACAGAATTTACTTATAAGAAGACAATGAAATAATAAAGATGAAGTCACAAAGACAGACAAACACATGAGTGGACGGATAGACAGACTAATGGACGGAGAGAGAGGACTAAAGAGGACTAACAGCACGACAGGAGGACTAAAGGACTAAGGGACTAAAGGAGGACTAATGGATTAGGGGACTAAGAGACTAAGGGACTAAAGGAGGACTAATGGATTAGGGGACTAAGAGACTAAGGGAGGACCAATGGATTAGGGGAATACGAGACTAAGGGACTAAAGGAGGACTAACGGACAGACGAACGGAGAGACTCACTTGTGACGCAGAATCTCTCGCGGAATGTACAAGCGTCGAACACCGCAATCTTCTCCCTAAATGTCACCACGACGACCCTGCAATGTAGCGCAATCAAACGTCATTCACGAGCAAACATTGCACTGTTATACGCACGTAATACACATATATATGCACATAAAGTATATATATATATATATATATATATCTTATATATATCCACATAATGTATATATATATATGTACAACGTATATATGCATATAATGTTTAACTTTAATGGATGTAACGGAAGCAAACGGGTCTGGTGCACAGGTCAGGTCGGTGGAGGACGTAAGCATATTTTTGCGTGAAAAAAGTAAACATTATGTTGCGATCGTTTAATTTAAAACGTGAATACCAGCACTTTGTCATTGATACTTATTTATTTATACTGAAATAACGACGTAACCCTCACCGTTTGTGACAGGCAATGTCAACGCAACAACAACGTAACCCTCACCGTCTGTCAACGCAACAACGACGTAACCCTCACCGTTTGTGACAGGCAATGTCAACGCAACAACAACGTAACCCTCAACGTCTGTGACAGGCAATGTCAACGCAACAACGACGTAACCCTCACCGTTTGTGACGGGCAATTTCAACGCAACAACAACGTAACCCTCACCGTTTGTGACGAGCAATGTCAACGCAACAACGACGTAACCCTCACCGTTTGTGACGGGCAATGTCAACGCAACAACGACGTAACCCTCACCGTTTGTGACAGGCGATGTC